CAACAATAGTGGAGACTTATCTACTTGGAAGCGTCAAGTGTAAGTTCGTCATGCAAAGTTCCCACTAACCCGGAGACTCTGGTATATGCTTTCACATCTGGGTGCTATGTTACAGATGATGTTTGGGCATTCTGGTATTTCCTCATCCTCATCGGTTAATGCGGAGTAAGTTTGCTATTACAGCATCTTCCTCACGCAAGGCAGCAATCCGAGGCCACAACCCTTTTGAACCAACCAGACTCTGCACCCGTTGTAAACCCTACGCACTCCCCACCGCAACCTGCGCATTCGCAGCATGGCTCGGCCAGTACGAACTCCACTGATGTCTTGGGCTCCCTATTCCTCAACAGAAGCCGCAGCTTATGAGAGCTTTAAAACAACGAGTGGTTGCACATTCAAATTAACACGTGTTATACATAGACGGAATTGAAACTGCTGAGGCATTGCAATGCACGTATTTTTACCCATGTGGGTCATCAGGCGGGAAGAAGTTATCAGTTGGGACAGTGTAGTTCACTGTGCTTCGTTTTGGTCCTGGATTGCTTAATGCCATGCCGTCGAAGACCTTCATTTTCTTATAATCGCCGCGTGCTCTCAAGACACCGCATGCGCCGTCCTAACCGTGGCCCTCATTCAGACCGACTCAATTTCCCCACTGGAGACAATCTACAAGGTTTGTTACTTCCCAGCCATCGGTCTCACAAAGCGGTTTGCGTGTTCGGGCCCGAAACAACATCGACTGAAGAACCGATGCAAACACTTTGTTCACTCCGGCTAGCTGAACAACCTCCAAGTGGTGCCAGCTGGGTGGTTCGGGTTAATTCCGTTCCAGCGAATAGTTTGTGGCAGTGTTCCAGGAAGTGGTGGGGTTTCGCCTGGCAAGCGTTCTTGCTATAAAATGCCACATGTGTCCGTTTAACAACACTGCAACGTGGCGCATGTGACTTGCCACTAAATAAAGTCAATGCCGCTTCTCCATCCGGAGGATCTTCACTTCACAACCGTCACCAAATTCGAAGAGTTCCATTGATCCCTGCATGCGACGGAGAACACAAAAAAAACTCATGGATTCAGTCACACGTCACAATTTCACTCACAATGCTCACTAACACATACACGTACATATATACAGACACATATACCCAGATGTTACTGGTCAACGTGCTATATTTTATACAGTTACCGACTGTAATTAAGTCACAGCCTATAAATTTCCACACTACGCTACGTCCACAAGGACGCAAACATTTGCCACTTCACCTTTGATTTTTTCCTCACATGTACTTCCCCATTTATGCATGCAACACAATGTGCCTACTACAAAACATTGTCTGTACAACTTTGATCATGCTTGTTCTAAGGCGTGCCTCGTTGCTATCGAGAATAAACTATTTGTTTCTTTATTTCTGGCGTATTTTCTATTTACGGCATATGTCCATCCTACGTTGTATGAAACTTACTGTTGTTCAAGGCTTCCTGTTTTGTACACGATTTTCTCTATCTACAGTTATGGATTGGACCTAGAGATGCGACCATTGTTTGTCAGACCTCACCCCTCCAACCCCTACCCTTGGACCAGCTAGTTCTCCGAGGCTTTCTCTACTAGAAAATTCGATTTTGGCGACAGACCGCTGGTCCAGCCCACTTGTTCGATTGCCTGTACAACATGGCGCAAGACCGCTAACTACTTGAGTTTGCTTAGCCACGTGGACGACGTCTTCTTTTCTCGATAGGCATTTTAGCTTAACCTCCCAATTATGCGTCAACCTTACTAAGATTTTCTATGAGTAGATCCTACGGAACGTCGCTGGGTCCATATATAACTACTTATAAACTCTATTTAAATGGCGTCACATATTTCTTTTCATAGCCTGGTACCATTTGTCTTACTCGCGTTTAAACGGATTGTTGTTTGTGGCGTTCATTACTCTCATTCTTGTTGAGTTTGATTCCGTCCCAAGTTCTTTTGCTGCTCGTCGTGCCACAAGCGTTGGAACTTTGTAATTTCCTTAGTTAAGTTTACGGGAAATACTTCGGTTCCTACTGGTGCCATTACACGTTACGATGGCATCGCCCAGTGCCTGGTTGCGCGCCAAATGTATTTAAACCCACAGGGGCGGGTGAACCGGTAAACCAGCATTGAGTAACGTTGATTAGACATCTCGTCATCGAACCTAGGAACAAGGAGTGAACTGCCTGTAAAAAGAGACGTAGTTGAGCTGCATTAAAGGCTTTTCGCAACTCTGTATTAGTTCTCGTGTGCATATCATAGCTGGTAGGTCACACTTAAACCAGATCCGAAAAAAAGCTTTTTGTTCTCCAGCGCTTGTGCTGTGGCTCTTGGGCCACTAGGCTTTATATGAATGTCAATGAGTTGTTCTGGATAACCGGTTTCGAAAAGCGTTTGCCCGTTTCGCTGCGTTTCATCTTCAGTTGTGTCCTCAATACAGGTATTCTATGAACGGTTTCCCAGGGTATGTACTTGTCTATGTTTACGGCTAATTGGTGCAAAATTTCCGAAATAGGTGTATTGGCCTGTACAGTACGGCTTTCTATATAAGCCTATCTGGCCTGATCCGCCTTCTCGTCGCTTTAAGAGTTCATCAATGAAGTGCATTCGGTTGTCCCTTTTGCTTCGGCTGTGAAAATTGTGTTGGGATGTGCCTTTCTAAAAGACTCAACGACATCCTGCAAGTTGTTCATATGATCAACTATACAAACTAGTTCAACCTAGCATCACTTGAAAGGTAGCCCTGAGATGACCGATTTTAATGGGTCAGCCTCTAACATTCTCATATATATTTCAGCCAATAGCACTCCGAGTGGTGATTCCATCGCTACGTCATCTACCTGTCTAAATAATGCATTATTAAATTGGAATTGGATGGCATAAGTGAAGCAGCAAAATGGCCGCTTTACTTAGACAGTTCGTAGTTGGAGCTTTATCTTGTGCTGCGCAATGCATGTACAAAGAAAGTTAACTGTTCCTAGCAGTTGGACATTCGTGGATAGAGATACGTCGTTCAGCGAAAACATTCGGTAGCGTAAGTGGTTCATAGTTTTAACGTTTTCAACAAATTGAAAAGCATCCGTCAGTTGATGAGAGCTATCCATTTCTTAATAGGATCCAAAGTAGACGTTAACCATTTTGTGATGCTGTGGTAGGGAGAGTTCGGCATATCCAATATCCGTCGCAACCAGGCACTCGGCTTTTGTGTTTTTGGGAGGCCGTAAAATCAAGGAATTATGAAGCTGGTGGGTTTTGACTTCTCATACCCTTCTTTAGTCACGTGGCTATTAGTGAGCAGTACTTTCAAACACTGGCAGTTGTGCTTTGTGTTATCTATTTGTCCTTCACACGCGCATATAGCAAAAATTTGGAGGAGTACGGGAGGATAATTTCAGATTTTTGCACGTATTCCGTGCAGTCCATTATCACGGTTCCAGATCCTTTATCTGGTTTGGTGATTATAATCCCCTCGGTTTGCTGAAGTCCTTCTATGGCTTCGAGGTGTGCCTTGGTTAGCAATCGGGTAGGTGTCGTGTGGTATCGTTGTTGCTGAATGGAAACCTTGACCACGTCCGATTTAAGTTGTTCAGGACTGGTGTTGGAAGTGGCTACTATAACACTTGTCTAGCTGCCAACTATTCAATTTGATTTTCGATTGCTAGTCGATCATTGGTTCGTGGGCGGCAAAACTTAAGATATGCCTACAGAAATTGCATGTCCAAGCATTACAACTACCCTGGCTAGCTACTAACAAAGATGGATCGGACCTCTCTCAGTGATGTTGCATGTTTTCAGTCACTTAACCACACACCACGTAACGTTAGCCATGTAAAAATTCAGTTTAAACAATAGTTGGTCTCTGTTTCCTGGATGAATTCCTCTGCATACTGTATAATTCTGTACCAAATCTGATACTGAATAAATCAAAATCAATAGTTCGGTTTAAGCCTGCCGCTTGCCTTTCGTCATGTAAAATTCAATTAAATTTGGTATACCGTACGATATTAAAAATAAATGGTTTATGCTCGACGGGGCGGGACACACATGCGAAGGTATAATCAGACACCTCGCAGGAGTTTTATAAGCCTCTGTATGATCCGTAGATCATTTAGGATCGTAAAGGAAGAAGATTTGTTAAATGTTTTACGGCCTTCGTTAGACTGAACCTGGAGTATTGCGTCCATGCTTGCTCTCCTTGCCTGACTCGTGACAAGATGACGGTATAGCGGGTCTGGAGAATCGGAAACAAAATGGTCCACGCATGGCAGCACCTGTCCTATCATAACAGATTGCTCAGACTAAGGACATTTTCGTTACTTTATCGTGACGACCTGATTCTCACTAATCGCATACTGACAGGGCGGCTACGTCCAGCCCTATTTTGCCTTTGTCTTCATACACAGGTACCTACACTACGCCGGCATGCTACTAAACTGCACAAAACCAGATCTGATCAGGTTCGGGCAGACAATCGTTTGTCAAGCCGTGTGATAGACACTTGGAACGCGCAACCTGAGGACATACCCTTGTCTTCCACGGTAACAAAGTCTAAACATGCCGTAGACGCCCACAACATACAGCTCCGAACCTTCCTCTTCTTGTAATTTAGTTTCGCTTTGGTATCCAGCCATCTTACTTTAGTTCACTCTTACTGAATTCCTGTGTATTGTCATCCTTCGTACCCTTCCGCTTAACATCCAGTCCACAATTTTCATTTTTATTTCACACGACTAGCGCAGTGGGGGCTATCAGCGCAGGGCACGTGAGTTTGGATTAGTTGACCATGATTTGGTTCGTACGGGCTGTTTTTGCTCCAACTACCGGCGGTTGAGGCCACTGCATTCTAACGTGGATCAATGACGCATATAAGATGGAACAACCATAGAAGCTTTTTGCTTCTGTCTTATTTGACTTTATTTTTGACGTTGATATTTTGTTTAAATGGTTAAACGATTACCTTGGGTGCTTGGTTTCGTTGCAACCCCTTCAAATGGGTCTTTTCTCGGATTCTACTGTTACTCATATAGCTTGTAATTCAGAAGGCCAAATCCAAAGGCAAGTAAACATTGCATTCCTTCAGCCCAATATCTGATAAAGAAAAACTCTTCTGTTGTCTTTTTATTATACTGTGCAATGAAATAAAGGCTTATTATGCAAGCACTCCTACGGGTTCAGTAGAGCAGGTTTGTGATGCTGTCGAGGATTCCGGACTGTAAACGAATAGTAAGCAAAGCTCAAGGGTCGCATTGTAGACGCATGTACGAAGACAATGCTCCGTTGAGCCGAATACCAGAATGAACGAACTGGGCGGAAACACGTGTATTCGGCGACACGACATGAGGACAGGACAGGTTCCAGGGACGAAACAAGCTTCCGCTTAACAGGCGTCCCGTTTTATGTGCGTAAGCGTAAAAGTGCCTCAAGCACTGCGACTTCATAGAATATTCTTGGTACTAGAATGGTGAAAAAACAGAAACAAGTGCAAGACGAACAACACACTATCATGTAATAATACGATTAGGAGCAGTCACTGAAGCTCAAGGAAATTCGGGAAACGGGGCATAGGAGTAAACGTGTTAACTGGTACCAGCGTACATAAATAAGTAGCTTCGTTCAAGTTAGGCACATTAATGGTTTTCCCCTTTGGTTCGTCATGAATTCGACACACAACAAGATAGCAAAGGGAATAAAACATGTACTAAAAATTACGTACGTTTTACCCGAACTACTGCGGTTGCACTTGCGTTACAGCACTATAATAAACCACCAAAGGAAATAATAGACACGAAAATGAGCCTACACACATAGAAATAAAAGCACAAGCATGTAGCTCTTAACCTGCTACATACGATACTTTTCATGAGTTAGAATCTGTTTAAACATTGTATCAGAATTACTAAAGCAGAAAGAATATAACATGTGTCATCCCATCTTGTGTTGTGCAAAGTAACTATGACCAGTGCGGAATGTAGATCTATGTACTCACAATCATGGTCATTTAGTAAAGCACCGTTTCCCTCGACAGCAAGCAGGGTGACGCTTTCATTAGTCTGTTGCGTGGCACTTCGGATACTAATCAGTGACGATGGCATGTATGAGACATGACAAATATGGAACCGTAGAGGAGATAGAGGCATTTGTACTCAACGCGTATTGAATAGTCTACAAGGAATGGATAGCAAACCAGCAAGAATTAGGAAGAGGCAGTACGGAAATCCAGAGATCAAAAGTGAAAGCTGGTGTACAGTCAGTAAAACAAATAGACGTTGAGAATGTACAGACAGCAATAAAATCCAATTTTATACAATACTGTAAGTGCATTTTTATGTTCACTACAATGGTCTCACCGAAAAGGCTGACAAACGAGAGCTTTCGGTAGATCCATTAGGTAGGTACAGTAGAAATGAGGTTAAGTGCAAAGAACAACATGGGTTTAAACGCGACTCAAAAATAGCGTGCCTTGCAGTGCTCAGTGGGTTTAGTCTTCTGTTATTTATTACGTTTTGTATGCGAACTAGAGTACATTATCGGTGCGGTATCCGGGCGGGCTCATGGAACTGCAGAAAACTGACAAGTCTAAAAAATACCGACAAGACATTACATCTGTTGCAGTGCCCAAGGTGTTCTTGGGAAGCGTCACCTATCCTAATGATTCCCAGTCCATGACCAAAACAGCCACTGCCATAAGAAAAAGGCTGGGTTTATTCATCGGCGTAAAGTAGCCAAGCGTTTGGAGACTAAGCTGGCTGTAGCCTTCCGCGGTAAAATACTTCGCGTAAGAATTTGTACAAAAGAGGGGTTTTAAACCGCTAGGCAGTTAGCACGGTAGTTACTTGTCTGTTTTAGTGACCTCGATACTGGAAGGTGAAAGTCAGAGAGGGTTGGCATGATTCAAGTGATGTGGCTTGACACCGAAGGTGGAATTTGGCATGAAAGCAGATAGAACATTTTGGGTGTTACAACTTGTTCTAGAATTTCTTGTCGAGTTTGTAAAACATTGTTGAATAAAACTTTCGATTATTAAAAATGATGAAAACGTGCGTGTTATTAAAAATTAACAAACGCTCAGGAAATCACTAAAACGGACCGGACTTTTAATCTATCTACCGCGTTGGCTGGTTCCCCAGGATTGAGACAAAGCAGACTCAGGTTCATTGGGAACAGAACGTTTTGAGTTAACTTGTGCTGGAGAGGTCACTGAGAGGTTCCGCTGCATGTGGGGTAGCATCGCTATAGGTTGAAAGTGTTTGGTCAAAGAAGGCCACCTCATGGAGGTCGAGGGACACTTTATGCGGTGACCACTTTGTTTCAAATGGAAATAATTCAGATGTGATTATAGAGTTCTGATAATGTCAGGGTATAGAGGCCGAAAAGGGCATCGCCAAGAGTTTATTTGGAAGAAGCTTTAAGTGCCGGCAGTGACTCCGCGTTTACACACCTCTAGTCTGTTCACGAGGAGGGATCAGGCGTACTGAATGCATGCATCGTGCTGGAGAGAACGCGAAGTTAGATAAGAGAAGGCAACCGTCATCCAAAAGCATTGTGGGTGACGGCTGCGAGGATAGCTGCGCCATTAACCCGGTTCTTCAAAAGCGCTTAACTAAACAACAGTTTCCTAACAAGTGGAACCGAGTTATCAGTACTCCAATTTGACTGGTCATACCCGTTTGGAGCCCGCCAACTGTGGTTTAAGGATTCTCCTCTAAATTGTCTCAATGCTGATGAAGTCAATCATGATGGAAGCACTAAGGTTTTATTATAAAGATCCAATATTATAGCTTTGAAGCAACAAGGCTTCCTTAGAAATCGGTCAAGCACTGCCAAACTGCTGATAACCCGTGGTAGTTGGACTAACATGGACGATAGTACTATTAAAACTGATGTAACCTATCTCAAAATTTTTAAAGTCCTAGACAGCTTAGAGCACCGAATACTTATCCATGAGCTATATGCATTTGCAGTTAAGTATCCTGTCCTTGGACGAGCTGGTAATTTCTTTCCTCAGCGGAAGCATCAGGTTTGGATACGGAAGTCATTTTACGCTTCTAGTAACATAGACCGCAACGTTCCACAAGAGCCAGTGTTGGGCGGCGGTTATTAGTAGTCTTCATCAACGACTTGGTTCATGTCATCGAGTCGAATTTCTAGCATTTTGCTGAGGACAACAGGATATGGCGGGCGATTGGTAGTCAGGAAATTTATGAGCTACTGCAACCGGACATAAAGCGTACTTTTAAATAGTCAAAAAGGAATGCAATTCCGTCCAATGCAAACAAGTCTGAAATTCTGCATGCACGCCGTATGTCCAATAACGCCTATAAGTATGGACACCTCCTTTAAAGACTATTTCACAAGAGGGCGGTGATAAGTTAAAATGACTCAGCTGTTAGGCACACTCATTAAAGGCGTCCAAAACTGCAAACAAACACGGTGGTCTCTTACGGAAGGCAATTAGGTGGTGTGACCTCTATCTGTCCTCACATGCTCAGCGCATATGCAAAGCACCATGACGAGTAAGCCATTCAAGCTTGGCAACACTGGTTAGCAGGTGATCTGCTTGCATTAAAGACCCTACAGAGAAGGGTAACTAAAAACTCAAAGAGCTTAATTACTTGCTATACTAATTGCTACTGAAAGCTCTTGGAATGTACAGCGGGAGTTACCGCGTTCTTTGGAGCGACTTCATTCTGGCGAGCCAGAGCTTAAAAAACTCCGGTCAGGCTTACTGCCACCTCCTGTGACTTAACCGCAACGTAAAACAGAGGGGCCACAGATGAACCCGGCCACTCAGTGCGGTCGGCTGGAATGCAACTAGAATCATTTTCTCTTAGAATTGGTCGGTCATGGAATGCTCATTTTACTTCTGGTATTTTTGTCTCTACAACGCAAAGTTTTTAAAAACGACTCAAAAATGCGTTACCCTATCTGAGTCAAAGGATTCAAATCCTGTTCCTAAGTAGAAACAAACATTATGCTCACCAGTTACCACGAAACCAAGGTACACGGATTTAATGTGGGCCATGGTGGATCTTATGACTACTTCACTGGTCGAGTTTCACTTTTCAAGCACTTATGGCTATTTATACCTGTATTGCACCATCGATTCGGAATGGATGAAAGCGAAATTGCACTGGTTGCTACGTAGCAACAAAGATATACGTCTCACATTTTTGCGCAACAAGACATGAAACGGCTGTAGTGGTAAGCGCCACAAGAAAAGAAACCAAAATCCGATGCCTAATAATCTAACGACGGTTTAACTGGCTCACAAGTGGAGGGTTAAAGGTAAGCCCAAAGTCGCATAAGCTTTGAAACATGAGCCAGAAGTGTGCTGTGATTACGCAAGCATAGTTAAGAGACTGTTTTACCTGACGATGTAATCAGTTAGCTCGTCACAAGCGGACGGAGCGGATGATTGGACGTCTACACACCACCTATACGCTAATTGGTTTGTATTTGGCAGTGCTGGAGTGAGTTAGTTTAACCGATATATAGTAAGAAGCTCACGAATGCAGAATCGCCGTTATTTATAGAAGTGACCTAGTTATCTACATCGAAGCTTCTAAGAGTTAGGTATGCGGTCATTTTCGTTGCGCTTGCTTAGTCAAATAAATCGTTTGTCCTTTAAGACTGAGTGTGGACTTATAGAAAGCTATCGCTTCCTTTTAATATCTCCAGCGGTGTACGACAAGGAGGCCCGCTGTCAATTTTTCTCTTCAGATTCTCTATTAACGAAGCGATAAGGCTCGCGTTCACAAGACACAATTTAGGCGCGGCGCTGCTTCTAGGTCATGAACTTATTGACTTGTAGCATGCTGATGCTATTGCTGTTATCTGTGGCAGCTCACAAACGTGCTAAGCTGTACTAGACAGATTAGTATTGGCTATAGCCACTTCGGGCTCTGGTTTGCACCATCGAAGTGCAAAGCGTTCCTCCAAGACTGGCACAAACCGCCTCTTCCGCTGACCTTTGGTGGGGATCAGATGGATTTTGTTCAAAAATTCTATTGGCAGGGAAGTTGTATCAAGGCCCTTTGGATCGAAGCTGAGAGAAC